GAAAGCTTTCACCTCAGAGATGTTCAGCTGCTTCCCCCTCAACCCGGCCCCTCCCCAGCCCCAGCAAAGCAGCTCCAGTGGCATGGGGGTGCCCAGCACAGGCAGCCCTGAGCCCCTGGGGCAGGGAGGCTGAGGCAGAGGGATCTGGCCAGGGGGCTAAAGGCAGCCAGGGCAGCCCTGCCTTGGGAGCTGGGTAACCTTTTTTGGCAGGAGGGAGGGAGGAGCTGGAGAATGGCCGAGCCATACAAGGGCAGGAGGGAGAGATGCCTGGCTGCCCTTCTTTGGCAAGGCATCCCTGAGGGGCCGCTCACAGGTGTACCCCTACACTGGCCCCAGGGCCCCCCTGGAACAGCTGAGCACAGGTGTGATGGACTGGGGAGGTGGGAGCAAACAGGGCAAGAAGGGGCAGCCTCCTGCTCTCTGCTCTGGGAGACAAGGGGGTCACCGTGCCCAAACAGCTGGAATCCCCATGCTGTGCCAAGCAGTGTCCTGGGGTGGCCAGTACCCCCAGCTGGGAGCGTGCCCACTCCCAGCCCCATCCTGGGCAAGCAGATGTGGGCAAGAGCATGCCCATGCTGAGCTGCTCCCCTATGCCAGACGATGCTTCTGAAGCTTCTGGGCAGGGCAAGCCGGGTGGGTGAGCCCCAGTGCATTCCCTCGGGGTGGGCTCGGGCAGCCTGGGGTCTCCTGCCCCTGCTTAACCCCCTCTCTCCCCCCTGCAGTACGGCATCGTGCTGGACGCCGGGTCCTCCCACACAGCCATGTTCATCTACAAGTGGCCGGCAGACAAGGAGAATGACACCGGGGTGGTCAGCGAGCACAGCATGTGTGATGTGGAGGGTAAGGGCTGTCCCAGTCCATGAGACTGGGGGTGGTGGCAGTGTCTGTCATGCTCTGTTCCCAAAACCTCCCTGATCTCCTCTCTCTGAGGCTTGCAGACCTTCCCGCGTGTGGTTTCTCTTTTCCTGGCATGCTCTTCAGCTCCCTGCTCCGGTGAGGAGTGAGGGATGGTTTCCCACTCTCCATTTAAGTGTCCTTTCCCTGGCTGCCAGCTGATGGGGGAAACACAGTGTGAGCAGGGAGATGTGGTTGGACTCTGGGTGGCTTCAGGCCCACAGAAAACTGCAGCACCTGCCTTTTCACCAGACTGGGAGGGACGCAGCTGCCCACTCAGCATCTTGCCACCCCACATCCTCCCACCGAGCCTCTGCCCACCACCTGCAGGGAGCAATGCTCTTTCCTCTTCACAGGTCCTGGCATCTCCAGCTACAGCTCCAACCCTCCAGCTGCTGGTGCAAGCTTGAAGCACTGCCTGAACCAGGCCCTGAGAGATGTGCCCAAGGAGAAGCAGGTGGGCACCCCGCTCTACCTGGGTGCCACGGCTGGCATGCGCCTGCTCAAGTGAGTATTTGCTCCAGCCGTGCCAGCTGCCCGGCCTCAAATGCTGTCTGGGGGCCCTGCCATGCCACCCTGCCATCTCACCACCCATGGCAGGGGTGCAGATGGTGAAGCACAGCTGCATAGCACCTGCCTTTTCACCAGACTGGGAGGGACGCAGCTGCCCACTCAGCATCTTGCCACCCCACATCCTCCCACCGAGCCTCTGCCCACCACCTGCAGGGAGCAATGCTCTTTCCTCTTCACAGGTCCTGGCATCTCCAGCTACAGCTCCAACCCTCCAGCTGCTGGTGCAAGCTTGAAGCACTGCCTGAACCAGGCCCTGAGAGATGTGCCCAAGGAGAAGCAGGTGGGCACCCCGCTCTACCTGGGTGCCACGGCTGGCATGCGCCTGCTCAAGTGAGTATTTGCTCCAGCCGTGCCAGCTGCCCGGCCTCAAATGCTGTCTGGGGGCCCTGCCATGCCACCCTGCCATCTCACCACCCATGGCAGGGGTGCAGATGGTGAAGCACAGCTGCAAGATCTCCCCTTGGCCAGGAGAAGCTCCTAACCCTCCCAGCTTCCCAGCTCCATGTCTCTTTGTCCCTTGGAGAGGTGCTCCTGCCTTTCAGGGCAGGAAATGCTCCAGGGCACAGCCAGTAGAACAGGGGCTGGCATGGGGCCAGCATGGGGATTACCCAACCAGGCTTTTTGGCCAGCCAGGAGGAAAGTCCCCCTGTGCCCACTGCCAGCCTGACTGGATGCAGTGAGAAGAATTGCCTCCCAAAAATCACATAGAGAAGGGAGTTGTGCTCCCTCACCCAGACATGGGGTACAGCTGGAGGGAGGAGGAAGGAGCACATCTCCAACCCCTGCCACTCGCCTCCTTCTACAGCAGAGACAAGGAGAATTAGTTGGGTTTTCAGGGGACATCCCCACTGGTGGCGGCAAGGACTAGGTGCTCTGTGCGAGCAGCTGAGGCTCCACTTGGGCTCCCCAGCACAGCTCTGCCACTCTGCCCACAGCATCACCAACCAGCAGGCTTCCGATGCCGTCCTCAGTGCCGTGGCGGCCGTGCTGAGGTCGTACCCCTTCGATTTTCGGGGAGCAAAGATCCTGTCAGGGGAGGACGAAGGGGTCTTCGGCTGGGTCACTGCAAACTACCTCCTGGAGAACTTCATCAAGGTGGGCATTGGAGCACAGTGCCCATCAGGGACTGCTGCAGAGGCCAGGCTGTCCCACAGCTCATCACATCCTTATGTGCACTCTTGTTTTCCTTGTTCAGCGTGGGTGGCTCGGGGAATGGATCCAGCCCCAGAAGAAGACACTAGGGGCCATGGACTTTGGTGGTGCTTCCACACAGATCACCTTTGAAACCAAGGACACCATTGAAGACCCTAGAAATGAGGTGATGCTGAAGCTGTATGGCCAGGTGTACAAAGTGTACACCCACAGCTTCCTCTGCTATGGAAGGGACCAGGTCCTCAAGAGGCTGCTCTCAAAGCTCCTCCAGGTACCAGTGTGTGGTCAACAGGGATGCTGCCTTACATCACCCTGCTGCTGCCCCCTCACCCTGGCATTTGTTGACTGGTGTCCCCCAGTCCTGGCTCTACAACAGCCCCTCAGGGCTGGCTGCACACCTTCCCATCCTACTCCTGGGTTTTGCCCCCAGCCCTCTTCCATGGTCTCAGGGCTTCGTCCCACCTTCTCCATAAGGTGTTGCACCCCTCAGCCAGAACTAAGACATCCTGAGTGCTCTCAAGACCCTTGTGGCATCTGCCAGCTCTGTGTTCCACTGCCCAAACTCCTCCACATCTCCCTGGAAGGGAAATGGAAGCAGGCAGGCAGTGGTGTTGGGGCTGCCCAGGCTATGACATGGCTTGCATGTCCCATGTGTTTCTTCCCTGGCAGGCTG